TATATTCAGAAACACCTAAAATTTTATCTGAGTTATACTGTTACCATATATATATATATGTGTATACCAGTACTGATTGAATAGCGTCGTCTCATTACAACGCCATTTATCATTGAGGCCACATAAAAGGCGTTTACCTCCTTTTTCTAAGCATATGTGTATGTATTAGTGAACGCGAGCGGGTGGTGTGGCATGTTGCACTGACAATCGTTTCTGAAAACTGCCAGCGCGCTAAGTACATAGTTATTTCATCTGCTGCTGCTTGTCATTGAATGCCACAAACGCCCTTCGTACACAGCTATAGGGTGCAGCCTTCAGAGAGTATGTATATTCGGAAATGTGTGTGTGTATGTATGTGTGTGTACTCACCTCGAACAGTAGCGCGCAGTAGCTTTCCAATCTGATGCGTTCGCCATTCGCTAATGTCAACAGCTTATTATCATCCATAACGGAGTTCATGTTCTCAATCCACAGCGCGTCGACGTCACCATCAAAGCAGACATAACGCCGTTCCTGTCGATTAAAGGAAGTGGATAACACACAGTTAGTTAGATGAAAATATGTTGCAGCGGGTTCGTCACATCGGATGCATGCATTAGGCTGATTGTATTAGTTTGTCATTTACCACTTGCCACTTGCCACATGCCATGTAACCGTTTGTGTCAATGTTGCATGTAACACATGGGTATTATAGCATCGATAGTGGCGCAATTGAAAACCAGCGACCTCGGGCAAGCGGAAATTAGGCGTGCGAGGTGTTGAAAGGAGAGCCTCCTTCACTCTCTACCAGTTGTTGTTGGTTTACATTACCTAGCGCCTGCTGTGATTGACATTGCAATCATATGTGACATTTTTGTTTTCGCTCACTCTCTAGTACCTTATTCGGTATAGTACCTGAGAGCGCGACGCGACGCGGTAGTCTATTGTTCCGCGCTGAGAGAGTAGCAGCTGTGTTGCCTCAGGATTTATTAGCGCGACTTGCAAGTGTGATTTCCACTTGGCTGATTATGTGGCCACTATCGCTGTGTGTTGCAGAAAGTCGCAAATACTCACACACACATAAGCGCAAGCATGTGGCACGTTAATGTCATAGTCATATGGGTGGATTCCATCGCTTACTCCAGCCACATATCAACTTTGACAGAGCAGAAAATCCAACTCGGCGCAGCGGTGTCGCGCAGGTGTTTGTGTGCAACATCGAAATGCTCTTGACTTCGACGCGTCGGAGATTTGCGCACATTCTTTATATTTCTGCAAAGCTTTTATTGTTGCTTCTCTAGCGAGTGTTTGCTTCAGCGCACAAACAAGCACAAAAGCAGCAAAGCATATTTTCTTAAAGATGTGGCAAACAGTGCGCGGCATACACGCTTGGTGGGTAAGGTCGTCAAAGCCAGCGCCGCAGAAGTGCCACAGCAGTTGACATTGACATAAAATATTTCTGCGTTTGAGATTTTCACTGTGAATAATGTTTATGGAGGTGAGTGCGGTCACCGTTCAAGGAATTCACCTGGCATAACGTTGGCCTTAAGTCCTGCCACCTAACGTTGTTGTTTGATTTCATTTTTTATAGTGGATTGATGTTTATTCAATTTTATATGAAGGCTGTAATTTTAATTATTTTTCATTTGATTACATTTATTTTGTGGCAGTAAAAGTGGCACATCAAATTGCACACTCAAAAATGCGCGTCAATCAATTTTAAGTCGAAATGTGCCAATCAAATTTGCACCTATATCCAACGTCGCCGCTTGCCGAAATTGCCAGTTAAAATTTAAATGCAACGGTAAAAACGACAAATAGTGTTGGGCAGTGTCTGTGTGAAAATCTGGTAAGGGGGAGGCGGGGTTGATTGAGGATTGAGTAGTTGACACACTTTTATGAATGCAAACACAATTGGCATTGCTTTAGCATACTGCATGTGAAAATGGTGATTTTTGTGTGCTAAGATTCGACTCCCGACACGTTTGATATATATATATATATCTATTTCGATGATTTATACCATCTGATCAAATTTGATCCAGACTGGTGTATTTAAACAGCGCATGCAAACAGGATTGGTAAATATTGTTTTCCTAGATTGGGACAATTTTTTTAATGTTTTGTGGAGTTGGATCTCCATCTCATACTAAGTGAGAGTCCAAGGAGCTTATTAATCATTTGTTGCAAGAACTTATTAACTTGTACTTATTGTATGAGAGTTCTAAGCCGAAATCTTTGAATGATATCAACTGTTTCTTATTGTATTTTGCCTAGTAAATTGTGTACTGTATTTTGAATTCAACAGGCTCGTAAATATATATTTTGAACACTTTTTTTATTACTGAGGTTAATGAAAGAGCATCGGTAGCTTAGGAATGACTTACTGTTACTCGATTCCAAAAGATCCGAATTTCCTTTTTTGTCTAATTAGAATATATGGAATAGCAGACAAGACAAGAGCATTGAACAAACATTCCATTTTATGGCGCTTCGAGAGAGCAAACAACAAGTCAATGTATGTCGACAAGTATTTGAAAGCTTCAGTGACTGATTGAACCGTAAAAGCGGTCACTGTAACCCAAATCAGTTACATGCTTTGCTCTTAAAAATGACGATTACATTTCAAATATGAGTGCATATATATTTTATGGTGTTATAAAAATGCGTTAAATGTTTCCAAGCTATATATGTATATGTATGTAAATAAATCATTAAAGTATATAAATATATACTATACATATTTATGCATTTGCATACCGCTGACTCTGCGTATATTTATATTGTCTAGCGTTGCGATTTACCTCTCGCTCGGTCGGCCTATTCATCTCACGAAATATATTCGAAAATAATCCATCAATCCAATCGCGTGTATCCATGTCGAGGTAACCATATAATTCGATTACCGAACAGGCCTGCAATAAATAAAAATTGTTCGCATCAAAATTGAG